TCTAGGTAAATTCAATGTTTTGATACTTATTTTTTGGTATAAATTTTAGTATAGAGGCTTGTATCCTCTTCTAGTCAGATCCCATGAGAAAATTCTGATATAAAACCTCTTGCCAAGAAAAAGGTGAGTTACATGATGGAGACAACGTAGCAAGCTCTTCCTGAGTGAGCATCCTGTTCAGCAGTTTGCAATTAACTTTAACAGACGGGATCCATGAAATGTGCAAAATTAGAATAGACTTTACTGTAATACATAAGAAAATTATCCTTTCTGAACTATTGATTATATAATTTAAATGTAAACCAGTTTATTAGGTATTTCATATTAAAAGATTCTTCCCCACGTGTATAAAACATGTTCCCAAATGTTGAGGAAAGAGAGCTGTACACATTTGTGTATTTAAATGAAACAGCTTTGGGAAAGGGGGAATTTTTGCGAGTGCTCCTGTTGCAGAATTTTGCTTGCTATTTTGGATGCATAAATAAACTTCAACCTTGGTGAGTTCGTAGGCCTGAAAGAGATAAAATCATCTTAGTCGTGACTTAAATTTGATTTGAAAACAATGAGAGAGCATAGGATGGGACATTGTGTTACTGATTACATGTAAATCGTAATAGACAGGCTATTTTTTACAGACACTTTGTCAATAATTATTCTTAAGTTAGACCGATAAAAATCTTTTCTATGTAACTTATTTTAATATTGACGTTATGTGGATTCATAGTAAGCTACCTACTGAATAGTTTAGGCTGGTTTTAGTTTGACAGCAGTCTCATTGAAACAAAGTTATTGCTGTGAGGATTACTGTGTCATCAGTTTACGGATGACATGCATGTATGATTGCAAGCACACTTCCATGGGTCATTAGTACCAGCACTAGAATAAAGTGCTTTGTGGACTCCTTCCTCTTGGAATTATTCAGTTGATACAGTTGCTAAGTTTAAGGTGATATAAATAACCATACATTTAGGGGCAAACTCATTTCATCTGAGTTTTATCCTTACAGTTCATTTTCAACTGCAGCTTTTTGTAAGGCTTAAACCTCCAGATTAGCTGCACTCTTTCAAAATGCGCATCATTCACTAGAGGATCAAGCTGTCCATGCTTGAACCAAACAGATTCATTCAAAGACAGCACCTCTTATCTCTTTCACAGACAAGTTTTAGAAATAATTATTAAAGAATGTGAATTCCCCTTTCCCATCTGCTTTGGTTCATCTAGTGTTAGTGGATGTTACCAATAGACCACTCAAAGTCTTTGCGTTTATCACATGCTGGGGAGGTTTGCACACTGGTGCATTGTGCACTGTAATTTCTCCTTACTATGCAGAGTTGTTTTGGCAGACTGGCTCTTTATGCTAATGGTTTTATGGAAACGGCAGGAATAGTGGTTTTGACTTGCAAACAGTGAAACAAATAATGGTTGTATGCTCAGCCCCTGAAAGCAAGATACTGTGAGTGCCTGGAAATAAGGTTATGCAAACCTACCAGCTGCAGCCCTGACATCGTCCAGTCCTTTTATGTGTTTTGTTCATATCAGTTTTCAGAGCTCTTTTTTTACGCTATTCTGGAATACCCATCTGTTGGCAGTCAGGTGAAGACCCTGGTGACTTAAAAAAGTGAATTATACCCATCTTTAAAAAGGATACAAAGCAGGATCCTTGGAACTACCAATCTGTCAGCCTCACCACTGTGCCTGGGAAGTTCATGGAACACATCCTCTTCTGAGCTATGCTAAGTCACATGAAGAACAGGGAGGTGATAAAAGACAGCACAGCTTCAACAAGAGCAAGTCCCACCTGACCAAACAAATGGCCTTCTGTGATGTAGTGGCTGCATCAGTGGACAAGGCAAGAGCCATGGGTGTATTATATCTGGACTTTTGTAAGACCTTTGACACAGTCACCCCCAATATCCTTCTCCTTCTGGAGAGAGAAGGATTTGGTGGGTGGACTGTTTGGAGGATGAAGAATTGTTTGGATTGCATCCAGAGAGTAGTGGTCAGTAGCTCAAAGTACAGGTGTAGATAGGTGGCAAATTGTGTCCCTCATGGGGTCCATATTGAGACCAGCACTGTTTAATATCTTCATTAATGACATGGACAAAGGGATTGAGTGCACCCTCAACAAGTGTGCAGACAACAGCAAGCTGAGTGGTGCAGTTGACATGCCTAAAGGTTGGGATGCCATCCAGAGGGACCTGGACAAGCTTGAAAAATGGACCCATGGGAACTGTCTGACGCTCAGTAAGGACAAGTGCAGGGTCCTGCACCAGGGCTGGGACAACTCCTGGTGTCAATACAGGCCTGGAGAGGAAGGGTTTGAGAGCATCCCTGCAGAGAAAGACTTGGGGATGCTGATGGATGAAAAGCTGGACATGAGCCAGCATGGTACACTCACGACTCAGAAGGCCAATCATATCCTGGGCTGCATCAAAAACAGTATAGGAGGAGATTTTACCCTCTAATCCATTCTTGTGAGATCCCACCTGGAGTAGTGCATCCAGCTCTGGGGTCCTCAGCAGAAAATGGACATGGACCTGTTGGAGTGGATCCCGAGGAGGGCTACAAAAGTGATCAGAGGGATGCAACACCTTTGCTATGAGGAAAAGCTAAGCAAGTTCAAGGTCAGATTAAACAACCCAGTCTATCTGAAGATGTCCCTGCTAATTGCAGTGAGGGTTGGGCAAGATGACCTTTAAAGATTCCTCCCAACCTGAACTATTGTATAATTCTATGGAAATCACATAAAATGACATGCATATAGGAATTTAATAGCAGATCTGTTTGTGTCTTGAAAATGTAGAATGCTGGAAAGAATTAATTTGCCATCATGGTAGGGAAAACTGTCATTTTCATTTAATTTTTGGGGGTTTTTTTGTATTTGAACCACACAAAACAGTTAATGCACTGAAGTTTCTGAAAATTATTATTTGATCCCTTCCATGTAATAGTTCCTTTAGCTTTTACAATTGGAAGCCAGTTCTATTTTGTAGCTAAACTGTTCAAGCAAACTCTCCACATTTTTGTTTTTTGTTATGTTATATTCTCTGAAGGGAATTGTTTAAAGTGGTGTGGGCTGTAGCAAATGCAGAACTTCATTCTTAATGATTTTCTTCTTTCACAGAAAATACATTGAAGCCGTAGTATTTTTGTTCTATTATTTGATGTCTTAGCAACTTAGATGTATCTTAACCATTATATTGGTTTGGAGATAGAGGTGTTATTACTAACTTTGATGTTTCTCAGATTTCTTTTTGAAACTTGGCAACAGCTAACTTGGTCATCTCATTAACTTCAGACACAGTACTAAGGAAAGGTTTTTCTTCTTCTAGCCATTTTTCAAAAAAGTTCGTAGGAATGTGGAAGAGTGAGGAAGGTAGCTGGATGGAACAGAGCTGAGAAAGATCCTCTCCTTCCTTGTCCAACTGCTTCTCTTTGGATAGGAGTAGCAGCTGTGGGAACTGCTGGAAGTGGGTCAGAGGGACATGTCTTGTAGTTTCAGCAATATGATCTAAAACTATCATCTTCTAATTGCAAATAGATCTGACATTTATAATTATTAAGCTTCATTTTATTACTTTTCATCTAGATCCCTAAATCCAGTTGGGATTAATTTTCAGAGTTCCCTGCAGTCAGTAATTAAAAAGAAACTTTATATCCATGTAATAGACAGGAGTGTGCTTTAAGACTGCTTATGAGTCTTAACAAGGCCACTTAGCAGGGCTACTTATAAGCCTTAGCAATAGTAAAAATTTTATTTAGCAACTTTCCAAGAATACTGCAGAAATAATGTAATGATTTAAACACATCTTTCCACATGCATCTTTGCTCTTGAGGGGAACCTCTTATTCCAGTGAAATGATAAAAGTTGTGACCAGGTTTTAAGTTTACTAGGATGTCTTTCTTAAGTTTCTAGAAACAAAAAATGGTTTTTAGCACTGGAAGTGGGTAAAATAAATGTCAGTAATGAGAATGTATGAGAAGAAGCTGCCCTGGACCTCACTGTAACAGTTGCAATACCATGTTACACAACTTTTATGTAACTCCTGGCTGTACTCTCTAATAAAAATTATCCTCCAAGCTTTATTTTAATTTTATAAGCTGTGCATATGTATAATACACAATGTACTTTTATTCATATGCCAAAGATCTGCAGCCAAATAATTTACTATCAACATAAGACTATTTTAATAATTTAATCCCTTAATCTCCTATAGTATTTTCTCCTGCACAAACTCTGTTTGTGTCTGTCTTGCCAACTTTGTGGTTGTCTGGGAATTGCTATGCACGCAACCTGATTTCTACATGAAAATGCAATTTCTTTTTAAAAATAGTTGCTTCTTTGTAAAAATAGTTGTTTCTTTAATAGTTGAAGTGTAATGTACTCCTACAGTTATAGGCTAATGGAAAGAAATATAGTTAATTTGCCATTTTTAAGAGAAAATGTGTCATTTTTCTGTTCTGCTTGAGTTTTTTGAAATTAGGGTGGAGATAAGGAGCATTATTACTATAAAAGATTTTACGTCATTAAGATTTACGAATTTAATCAGGCATATACAGTCTACTTTATCCAGGTTATCAGATCTATTGCCCATAATCTCTTATTTTTCACGAAGCAACGTGGGAGCTTGGAGGACTGAGGCGTTCCACACCCACGTGTGTCTTTGTCAGCCTGGAAGAGAAGGACATGTGCACTAGAATTACCAGCAACCTCAGTGAGGTTTTTTCCCTTTAGCTTTCAGCCTGTGTGTCTCCACCCATGACTTCCCACATAAACTAATGTTTTCTGGTAGGATACATCAGTTATTAGGAAAATATATTTAAAACAATTTGAAAAAGACCTGTTAAGGATCTTGGAACAATTAAATATGGAAGAGCATTTCAAAGGTATTTGACATTTTGTATGCTACCAGCGTTGATTTAATTGATCAGTGTTGTTGTGATATGTTGTTATAATTTGAATTATTCTTTACTATAGCCTTTTTTTTCCTTTACTGCAGGTTTAAGATTTTTAAGAGCCCTTAGACTGATACAGTTTTCAGAAATTTTGCAGTTTCTGAATATACTTAAAACAAGGTAAGACTTTTTCTTATGTACTGAGTTAATTGCATTGGTAACAGAGCATAAATAGCTTAAATTTGGGATCCTAGTAATATATAATTTTCTTTCCTGGAAAAAAAAACTCCAATTGCTATCTGTTCTTTAAACCTTTTTCTGCCAATGAATGATTTATCAGTGAGCATCTTTTGCTATGTGATCAGTAGATTTTGATGTGTTGTTACATTTGAAATATCTAACAAGGTTGTATGTTGATAAATTAAAACCAGAATGAATTACATAGCTTTGCACTGATTAAACATTGTTTCTTTCCATATAATCGGTCCATGTTATGCTCTCCTGGAAAAAACAGAAATCAAAATTTGTTCAACAGAATACAGTTAAAAAGTATCTTGACAAATTATCATTGTGGCTCTATTTCAGTTTTTTTTAACTGGGCATCCTTTTTCACATCAAAAGCATATTAGAAATTACACTGAGCTTTCTTTAGATTGTATTCATTGTCCTTAGTATTTCTTTCATATAATAATTAAAATAGTCCAATTAACCTTCTGATTTACTGGTTCTTTGGGCTATTAGTACATGTAAGTTGTACAGAAGAATCACAGTTTTGGACAAAAGATCACTTTGAAAGAAATAAAAAGAAACCTTCCCATGCCTTACAGTTGAAGACATGTTGCTTTTCATGATTTTCTAAAATGCCCTGGGGAAGTATTGAACCCAACTTCCAATAATTACTCTAAACTCAGTTCCATTCTGAAATCCTCTGCTCTCTGCACCAGTTGATATTGATGTGTGAGGGTTTTATATGCAGGTAACTCCATTTCTTGCTGTGATAATTAATAGTAGTGGTTAAGTAGGTCCTGAGATTTGTACACAGTCATGGTAAACAGCTGGTTCTTCAACCCTTAACCTTGAAACTATTTCCTTTGCTGCAAAACTCTCACATTATGTCTTTAGCTGTGTTACTGTAAGGAATCACTTCTTGTCAAATAAAGACACCAAAGAATGTGCAGTGAAGTCCCATAGCTTAGAATACCACTGGGATGGTAAAGGAGAACAATTTGTGGAGGAGCTCAGAATATCCGATGAGTTTACATTTAACACACAAAGAAACCTTACCATAAGAAATGTCAATCAATGGAGAAACCCTATAAACTCGAAGGATTTTGGATAAAAGCTAATAGCCCCTTCAGCAGTTGGGGATTTGTGAAATTCCAGATCTGTAACTGAAAGGATACTGCATTAATCACATTCAGTGTATTCAGAGCTGCTTTATTCAAGATTGACCTGTTCGTTGAAATAGCATTTTTCTGGTGCAAAATTTACTCTGCTATTAGACATAGATATCATATTCTCTGTAATTATTTATGTCACCATCCAAATATCTGTAAAACTCAAAAGTTGATTGTTGAAAGACTGTAAAGGAAAGTTTTCTTGTATGAGTGTTTTAGTTCAGTTAGCTAATTAATCCTTAGCAGTTCATCATTAGCACCGTTTATTTAACTTAAAAACTTCCTCAAAACAGTTGTTTTTCTTGGTTCTGCAACAGAAAGTCATGTCTGTTCTCTCCTGTATTTTACTTAATAACCTGAAATTACCTAAATAATTTGGAATGCTATTGATGTTCACAAAACATATTTTTGTAAAATTGGTATGTCAAGTTAAAACAAATGAACAGAATGTTATTTATGTTAGGAAACTTTTTATTTGCACCTGAAAAAAGGCATGCTGAGCCCTTGTGGTTAATGGAGAATCTTTAGTAATTTTGCAAGAGTTAGGGCCGTTAAACTAGTAGCCTCATAAAAACTAATTTTATTTAAATAAAATTTACTTCCCTAAATTCAAGCAATGGTTTCATTTACATACCATGGCCTTAAACCATTATTATTAATTTAAAATCTTATACTGTATTGTATGCTTTGGCCCAGCTACTGCAACATTATTTTTCTCAGGGATGGTTAAAAAGCTTCTAGAATTAAAACATTGTAGCATTTTTTGCAATCCACTTTAAAGGTTTTAATGACATTTCCAGTATTGTAATTTCTTTGTGAACATAAAGACCAAGGATTAATGACAGAATTTGAATTGTTGAACTGGAATAGCAAATTTAGTATATCATTACTAGCTCTGAAGTTATAGGATAGGGGAAAAAAACAAACCAATACTTTTTAAATTCTGCAAAGCATAGTAGTTCTCTGTTTGAGGTGATATTTATTTATATGAAAAAAATATGGAACCAGTTCAACTAGAGGCATTTTAATGTGTTTGGCATTAATAACATTTAACCACTAACAGGATGAGAAACTGATAGGGTGTAATGGGCACTGCTGTTTTTAATATTTAGTGCAATTGGAGGAGAAATTCTCTCCTCCTTTTCCTCTTTTCCCCAGTAAAGAGAAAGCTTTATTCTCACCTATTAATTAAAATTACTGCTAGAATTAGTGACTGAGATATGCAGATTAAAGGAATTTGTATTATTTATGCAGTGAGCAGAAGGGCCATTCCAAAAACTGGAATCCAAAGGAACAAACTAAACAATGCAGAAATTGAGGCAGTAAGGAGACTAGCAAAGTGTTAGATAATGATTAGACTATCTGAAAAATTGCTAAACGTGTTTGAAAAAATCCCGTGAGACAAAACAAAATTTTACAATGTCGTATTAGAACACCATACTCTGCCAAGGACTTGTTTGTTTCCCTAATTTGAAATGAAATGTCTTTTACTCAATATTTTTTGTTCTCACGTTTGATGAAGTTGATTTGTGCAGTTTTCAGTTGAAAATTTCTCTCCTTCATTGTTTTCTAATATTATTTTTCAACAAAACTACAGAGGCTTAGGCAGGGCTCACAGTAAGGGATTTTGCACAGATGTTGGAAAGAGCTTAAAGAGAGGGAAAATGTTTGTGACTAATCCTCCATCTATATTTAGACTCTGGCGGAAGCACAGGGAGTATTTCATAGAGGAGAGACAAGGTACAGTGTTTAATAAATCTGCAGAAATAAGTGTACCAAACAAGTAATGTAGTTATTAGTAGGTGCTGTCATTTACTTGTATTCCAGTAATATGTGGACTGACACATTATTCTATTAGGAACATCTCCTAAGATCAGGTGAAGGATGGTCATTGGCCTTTCATGATGGAGCTTTGCATTAGCATGACTTCTATGATTTTGCTTAATATACGAACCTATTGGTTTGGGTCCTGTGCTAGAACTGAATGTTAACACCAACAAAATAGGAACTTTAATCAAACCATACCTTAAGAAAGAGAGAAAGAGGTAATATGTGTTGAGGTAGGTGAGCACTGATTAATGGCAGGATAGTCAGTATGTTATTTTATTTTTGAGCATAATATTTATTACCACATCTTTCATATTAACCAGTTATATTCTTTTCCTTGTGCCTCAAGATGCCCACTTCACTAACTGTAACTCTTAAAATTATTTTTAATGAAGTTGGTCTGATTAATTTTCCAAGTTATTTTCTCAATATTTTAAAGAAAATCATGCATTTTTATTCTCCCTAAAATAGTTATAAATAGAAATATTAGTTAATTTTACTGCAAAACTACTACTGCTAACACTAATAGTGATTGTTTTCCAATTTTTATCTTTTTTGAATTTATTGCTTTAGGAATAATTAAGGTTTTTTTCTGAGGTATTATACCTTCTCATAAATGTTTTCAAAACAGAGAACTATTTCCAGTACAATTCCATGAATGGGTAAAATTGTTTAAACACAGTCATACATGGACTGCAGTTCCTTGTGGATGTGTTGAATATCCTTCTTAGGATAGTGATTTTTGTGAGAAGAGAGGGAGCAAGTTTTACTTATATTTCTTCCAGAAGATTTTAAGTATGGTATTTTCCTCCTGAACTGAATGAGGTCCTTGCTTCAAAATCACTTTTGGCTACGATAGGGAACATACTTCTCAGTGGGACTAAAAAATATTTGCAGTTTGATTGGTAGGTTTAAATATCACTTTTTTCATTGTTTAAATTTTACTTTTTCTCATTTTTTTTAAAAAATGTGAATATAAACAATGAAATGCTCCAATTTAGTGTGAATTTCCATAAAGTAGTCCGTAGGAGTTCATATCAGCAGAATAATATGAAAATTACTTAGGACTTCACACGAGAACTGTAAAATGCCTTAGATATTTAATTTGGGAATCATAATTTTCTCATGTGTTTTTATGTATTTATATGTGAATAACTTGGAGGTGTACAGCAATAAAAAATAAGGAGGTAAGTGTACTGAGAGGCAACCAAATTATCTGTGAAAAAGCATTATTTCTATTAGTTTGTTTATGAGTCTAGAGATAGCCATACCCACTGCTCTCATACATGGGAACCTTCCTTTCAAGCTATCTAAATGATGAAAATGTGAACTCTGCAAAGACAAAATAATATATATTTTGCGTGAGCTTTTGATTAAGTTTTTTTAGGGAGTCTGTTTCTCTTTGGAAATAATAATCAGATTCTTTAGTCTGAACTATGCAGTTTTATACAGGTATGTGCAGAAAATGTGACAAATTCTAGTCTAAGTTCCTATTTGTTTTGTTTGTTTTCAGTAATTCCATCAAGCTAGTGAATCTGTGCTCTATATTTATCAGCACGTGGCTGACAGCAGCTGGGTTCATACATTTGGTAAGTATATTTGAAAGTACTTCATTGACTTTTTATCATGGATCTTCTGCTCTCTGAGCTACTTTATTTCCTGCAATTGCCTTGCTCTGTATAATCCCTTAACACATCAACAGAGGACAATAAAAAGGCATCACAGCTTCCCAGATTTTAAGCTTCTACTCAAAACTAATTCAGAGTAGTAAGACAGACATCATTAACCTCAGCAATAAAGCAGGAGACTTGGAGTGGTGCAACTTGTGAAACAATGACGATTTACCAGGAGGTGGCAGTGCTTCCCAAAGAACTCCGGCGAGTGCTTCCTGGGGGCGGTTGGCAGAGTTGGAGCGAGAGAGGTCCTGGGAAATCCATGGTTGTGTAAGAGGGACACAATGGGATTGCTAACATTCTGGATAGCGATTTGTTTAGAGATTATTTCCTTGCCTTTTGTTTTTAAATTTCAAATTGTTTAGGTGTAGCTTTCAGTCACTGACAACACAGGTTTTTTGTAGTAGATTTCTATTCAGCACTTAACAATACCTGAAAAATGTAAGATAGTATAGAACTACATGAGGTCATAAATGTGAATATGCATATGAACGATAGGTATATGTCAAGTGAGTGTTTTAAACTAATAGATTTTACTGATTTGTTTGGTAAATAGAATATGATTAAGTGGTTGTCCTTTAAGTACATTTTATGATCAACTTAGAATCAGGAAAATTTTGAGCTGCTAGTAGTAATAAGTTATTCAGGAACGTTTTGGACTAGTAATACAATTTAATGATATTGATGTCATTCTGGAGCAATTTCATTGACTTCACTTGAATTAACTTGAGCTGCATCCAGCTGTGTAAGATTAAATTCAAAATATTTATTTTCTTGATATATCTGTCATTTAATTTTCACTCTTATGCAGCGAGATTTTGCACTCTTATGCAGCGAGATTTTGGATGTTTTCATTTCTGATATATTTCTCATTCACATAGGACCATATTGTTACAGCCCTCTGAGCAAATACACAGAAAGAATTGCTTTTTCTGTTTTTGAACACAAAACCACAAACCCCCCCCCACCCTTTAAAAGTTACATTAAGACTGAGAGAATGCTATTTTCTAGGATTTGGATTTTTTTTCCCCCTTTGCTTTCCAGCATAAGTTTCTTTATTCTACTGTAGGAATACTCAAACTTCAACTTTTTACTGTGAAACAAATTTTAAAGGGCATGCTCTTTTTCCACTGATAAATTTATAATTTTGTCGCAACAGCAGCTGGCTTTTTGCAAAGGTAGTAGCATATCACTAAACATGTCAGTAATACCTAATGGCTACATAGTCCTTTAAAACAAAAACATTAAGGAGTATAATTGCATTACACATAAGTTTCACTCTGGAAATGTTCTAAAGAAATTTTTTTAAAATGAACTCACCTAACCACATTAGTAGGTTATTTAGTGGTGACTGGAAAAGATGCTTTCCATAAATAGTATGAGTGGAAAGGCTATGTATATTGGCAAAAGAATTGTAGTGCTATATTTGGGACAGGGTCAGGTTCTGTATTTGTTCAAAATAAATCACAGAAAGGGATTCAGAGTTTGTATTATATGCCATATTATATGTATATATACACACACATGCATATATGGTTAGATTTAATTTGGCATACAATTCTATTAATTCATTATATGTTTTCTTTTACATTTAGGTGGAGAACTCAGGGGATCCATGGGAAAACTTCCAAAATAATCAACCGCTAACATACTGGGAATGTGTTTATTTACTGATGGTTACAATGTCCACTGTTGGTTATGGAGATGTTTATGCAAAAACAACCCTTGGTCGCCTTTTCATGGTCTTCTTCATTCTTGGGGGATTGGTAAAAACTCTTCTTTTTTTAATTCTTCCTATCATTCCAACTACCTTAGCACTTGATCTGTAATGTTGTAATTGAGTAATGTTGTAACTTGATCAATGTTGTAATTAAGTAAAGCTAAAATTAATTATAAAACATTCAAATATGTTTAATATGCCCCTTTTTCGTGGAGATAAATATTTTGGCAAAACTTGTCAAATTAGTCCAGTTTAGTCACAATTTTTCTAATTCCTTTAAATGAGTAATGCATGTGAATACATGAAGTGCCTTAATATTTCAACTTATAACATTATTTGTAGTCCTCTGTGTTTTAGTGGCTGACTGTAGTGCATTTTTTTGGAGGCTGATATTGATATTTAAAGGCACTTTGCGGTTTCAGATGTCCTACCCACCCTTCTGTGTTCCTTCCCAGAATTCCAACAAACACTGTGGCTTTGGACTGCCTTAAAGAGCAGCTTGCCTGATCTAGATGATGGCAAACCACATTCTCTTTAATTTCAAACATCTTTTCATGTCATGTAGTGCAATTTTAACTCACAATTTATCACATGACAATAATCAGAATCCTTTTATAGGATTCTTGTATTCTTTGTCCTGTATGTAAATAGCATCCAAGTTACTAATTGTCTTATGTCAACTTTTCTACTATGTGTCAGCATTAGTAATATTATAGGAACTGTAGCAATATTTTTTTCTAAAACAGAAAAGTTTATTTTAATATTTACATATTTCAAGGTAAGTGCTTTATGGATGACTAATATAGATTGTGCACATACATACATATGTATATTGTTACCCTCTCATATTGATTTCACATATACATACATCTTACAGAGGTGATATGTATATAGCTACTGTTATGAATGCCATATATGAGACACACAGATATATATATATATATGAGCATTAAATATATGCATTCCCATCTCTGATCATTGACATACAAAGACAAAGATCATGTCAAATGGCAGTAGCTCTTCGAAGTATCCAGCCACAAGGAAGATGTTTGTTGGACAAAACATGGCAGAATATTTTTTATTTTCTCCTCAAAACCTTTTTTCTATCACATGTTATTCCAATCCTTCTAAACCCAACAACTTTTGGAAAAGTTTTTTTTTGGGGGGGGCGGGGGAGTGATTTTTTTGTTTCTTGATGGGGAAATAACCCCCGATTCCATCTTGGTTTTGTCTTCTTTTAAATTCTAATACTGGGGGGAAAAGTCTGTATTTTAAAACAGAAATGTAACAGTAATGATAATACTTGGGTTTGGATTTTTTTTTTTGCAGTGGGGCTTGGATAGCTTTTTCCCCCTCCCTTCTTCAGGAAGAAATAGACATAACTGCTTTTTGTGATTAGATACCAGTTTGAATTAATTTTGTTCTTGTTTTGGTTTGTGTGTCTATTTTTCCTCTTTTGGCCATTTTCTTTATTTATAAGCCGTGCACCTTCTCCAAGACCCACTTTTACATTGAGCCCTCTTGTTTTGTTTGATAAGAACTTTTACATTTTTTTAAATTTTCTTTTTAAACAACTGCATAGATCTAATTCTTTTGCATTTTTAGATCTTAAAAATATATATCTTCTGAAAATATTCATCATCCCCCTTTCTTTGGCCTCTCTTTTTAGTCTTTTCTTCTGTCTCCTATCTTCTTCTTAGGCCATGTTTGCCAGCTACGTCCCTGAAATCATAGAGTTAATAGGAAACCGCAAGAAATATGGTGGTTCCTATAGTGCGGTTAGTGGAAGAAAGTAAGTATCCCAAGAGGCTCTGCTGCCTCTGCTGCAGTAGAACACTCTCTGCATGCCATTTTCTTTTTTTTTTGTGTTTTTGTTTCATGCATGTAGGCAATGTTTGCTCGCTACGTGCCAGAAATTGCTGCTCTCATCCTTAATCGGAAGAAATACGGCGGAACTTTTAACTCAACTCGAGGCAGAAAGTAAGTCAAAAAAGACCAGGTGTGGTTGTGTGACTTTAAAGAGCCCCTGAAGGTGGTAATAGCTGATTCACAGCTTATAAGGCTGTATTCTTTGACATCAGATGTTACCACTGGAGAGTTGTCACACTATAATTAGAGACCTGGGCTATGCTATGGTACAAGTCACAACATTTTGTCCCTACTTCCAGAGAACCTGGATACCACTAAGACTGCACTAACATATCTTGTAAAAAGTGCTGCTATTACATATGCAGTTAGCTTCTGGAACAAGGTTGAATTGTCACTTAACTGTTTTGGGCATCAGATTATCATGTGGTTTATCTCTTAACTAAATGCAATGATAATTCACATGATTTTCAGTTCTTTTGAAGAATTGGTTTTACTGGAGTGTAAAATAGGAGATTTAAGTTGACTGATTTATTCTGTTGAACTGACTATGTAAGAAGTCTAATAGCCCTGTTTCTCAATGTTCCATCAGCAGATTCTCATGGATCTTCTTTTCACTTCCTATGGATATTGCAAACACTCATGATTTTAGGATCTATGACCAGGGATTTTAAAGCAATTCTCCTCCACACACTGTAAAAAACTTACCCTAAGAAGAGCAGATAATAGCCTTAATATAAACATAGTTTGGTAAAAAAACAAACCCTTAAAACCCATTCTTTTGACCTGGTGGCAAAGGTTAAATTTTATTGGACCACATTAGCTCATTATGTTTCTATTGAAAACCTCTTTGTTTTCTTGACAAAGTTAAAACCAGCTCTTTCTGGCATTCCCAGCATCTAGACCTGCTGGGATATAGCTGTTACTGAACTAGATGTACTTGGTGATATAGTGTGAACTAGCACAGTATCACCTTTAATGTTGCCATCTTTCATTTCATTACATATCATTGTGACATTCAGTGGTAGAGATACATTTGCCCTGAAAGACTAGTCATACAGAGGGCCCTTTTCATGTAAAATAAAGAAGGTACTGCAAGAAATGTGCCTAATTACTTTTCCCTCTCCTTACTTTAAGAAAATTTTTTACTTTGTTTCTTTCAAATCATCACCCTGAAACATTTTATTAAAGTGGATTATGGTTTAATCAAGTTGTTTCTCCTCTCTGTGTAGCAGAGACTGTAAATGGCCCACAGAGATAATTCTAGAGTACTGTTTTACATCACTGGGTAGATAAAGTTTTAGAATTAGAACACTATTGTCTGTTCAATAATACTCAAGCAATTAGACAGTAGACTTCAATACTTGCATTTTTTGAGATAGCCTCAAATGTCTAGGGTAAACTGTAAACACCAGTGTTGGAAACTTCCATCACTTACCTAGACTAATAAAATGCCTTGATTTATTTCTGAGAAAGAATAGTATCGTGAATTTCCAAAAATGTTTTTTTGTGGCATAGTTTCACAGACTCAGTTTCATATTTGTAATGCTTGGTTTCTCAAAGAGTAGGTTTTTCAAATAGAGAACATATACCTCTGTTTTTGAAGCTCCAAAGGAGTTATAGGAGAGGGGTATATGGTTAAAAACTTTTACATACAGTTTTAGTCTCTGCCCTTCTACATTGTCACTAGTACCCAGCATTGCTCAGATGTCTCTAAATTTTTACCTGATCTTCAGTCAGAACCCCACATCCTGAAAAACTCAGCATCAGATTACAGGCTTCTGCTAGCTTTGGGGCTTGCTTAATTTTATTTTTTCACCTTTTGTTTTTGTCTTTCTTTATTTGCACTATCTGTTTTTATCTCACTCTGTTGTCAGTGCTTTCTCTGCTGATCTGTACTGCTCATATAATTTGTTGTTTGAAACTCAGCTCTGTCACCAGCATACAAACTGTTCAATTTACTTTATGCATTGTTTTCCAGCTCAAATATTAATTACGAAGTAGTTTAAAGATGTCCTTTGCTCGTGTGGGTCTTTCATCAGAGAATCTAAGCTTGGGAACTGCACAGTAAAAAGCCATTAGCACCCCTTGTTTGATGTTGCTTTTGCAGTCAGTAGAACAAGATTGATGAAATGTTATGTTTGGCCAAAATTTAAGTTTTCATTTGGAATTCAGTGTTGAGAGAATGGATTGTCAGAACCAATAAGTTTTCCTTTGCATGGGATACAGGCATGTGGTAGTAATTAGCAATATAAGGTCTTTAGTTGAGCAACCAAGCATAGATTCTGGCAGTAAACATAATGAGAAACTACAGGTTTTCTATTTCTATTGTCAGAAAGTTTCCAGATAAAATTAAATACATGTACAATATGAAAACAGCTGAATTTTGGTGAAAGATATAGTTTCAGCCCTTAAAATAACAAATGTGTATATTTTTAAACTTTCTACAAAATAGAAAAATACATGGAATCTGCTTTGTAGCATTTAGATATTTGTTTATACATGCTGCCTTGTGAACTCCGTGTGTGTGGAATAACGTGTTTCTCTATGGTTATTAAACATTAGGTCGTACGTTGAAATCAACAGATGATTACGTGTGTTTTGAGGATTGCACTGCGTGACTTTAATACTAAGGAGAGCCCTTCTATGGAATTGTAACTGTCAAAGCAGCTAGAATGAGTGCATAAGAATTCTTGATACAAACTCCACTTAGAAGAGAAATAACCAACACACCAATAAGTTTGATCTCACATTTCATTTTGCTTTTCAGCCCATAAAGTCCCCAAAGGTCTCATAAGCAATATAGGATGCATTTGGCATAATAAAGAATCTTACTTCTCTCTTAGATGAGACACATACATACAGACTTTGGAAACAGAAGTAGTTTGTGGGCAGTATGCAGTTATCAGTGGTTAAATCTGCTAGATACTAGGTTAGTTTCGTTGTGAAAGTCCACAGGGAATTTTTTAAATTTTAAATAAATTATAATTTCTGCTTTGTGGTATTACTGTAGTGAGATTTCTAGAGTCTCAGAAAATACATAACAGGAATTTTTTTATAGTCTTTGATTGAAGTTCCACCTGTTAAATAAACAGCAGTACTCACTGTTGCATATATACCAAAATTTTATACCAATATGTCTATACAAAATGTGACTGAGACTGAAAACACAGCTTTAAGGACAAGTAGGGTAATGAATTTGGCACAATTACAATCTAGAACAAAAAAAATTACCAAAAAAAGGTAACAATCCTTGTCTTGAATTACAAATATATAAGCAATGAGAGTTGCTCATTAGGTAATTACATTACTACTGAACAGCTGCTTTTTTACCATTTTTCTTCTTCAGCTCATCAGAAGCCACTGTATTGTTTTTACTGTGTACCCTGATACACCAGAATCAGATGATCAGTAGACAAACAAAACTGGCCTTCTCAGTTTAGTTATACACAGAGCAGACAAACAATTGCTTCTTGCTATAGTCATCACTAATTACAAATGATACAGAAAAAACCAGGCTGTAGTTACAAGACAGAAAATAATTGATAATAAATATATGTATATAAAAAAACTAAGTCATAACTGGTAAACAAAATTCAGACATAAAAAGCAATCAGATGTGTAAGAAAGTTTACAAAGAAATATTACAAAATATTATTTTGTAATACAGCTAAGGAGGTATCTTAGGATACCGGTGATGTGTCTTTCAGTATTTTCCACATTGAATCCTACATAGCTTTTCTGTTCTCTCTGATGAGCAATTCAGTCACTACTGTTTCTCCTTCCTGTTTTTTTCCCTGGATGAATTGTGTAGTACATGATTTTACATTTTGGGAAATATTTTTACAAAGTAGGTATTGCATATAAAATTCTGTACAATGATATTTCCTCTTAGCCATTTTTCTTAAAAATTTTGAGACCAGCAAGTGCTTCCTTACACCCTATCTATAATTAGCTCTTTTCTTTTTTAAAACTTTTGATTTGGCTTTGTTTAGGCTTTTTCTGTAAACTATCTGAGGAATTCATGAGTTAGTATTCAAGGGATCATTTTAAAGTGATGTTTCTAAACATCACTTTAAAAGTGAAGTACCATTAAAGGATGGAAAGGTATCTGCCACCATCACCATAGCTGAAAGACTATTGGGTCTAGAATATTGCAATAAACCTGCAGGTTTGTTCATGCATTCGTACCTCTGGAAGACTGGAAGGGGCAGTGATCATTTTGTCTTTGGATGATTTCCTGAATTGCTCCAACTAAGCTCTTAGCTATAAAGTTCAGGCTATAAGTCTTTTCTTCAAGAAAGTCTTGGGTTTGGATAAGTAGATTTATGCTATAGCACTTTTTTTTTTGATATTTGGAACTTATACATTCAGTTCCAGCCAAAATAGTACTTACAAGATCATCTGTGTTATTTCTTTTAAGAAAAAAAAAATAAATCAAGTTTATTTTGATTATTTGTTTATAATATTCATATTACTGAGGTGCAGTATGAAATTTGGTTAAAGATCCAGATTTGTTTTACCTCTACTAATTCATAATTAAAATTTTATTCTGCATTTACTAGTTTACTTTAGAATCAAGATTGTTCTTGTTTCATTTCTGTATTCATGTGTTCACATGATCAGACTGGATTTTAATTCTGTGAAATATTTTCCAGTTGAAGATATTAGCCTATAGATCAGCCTGCACAAAGCTCTGGAAAGCATATGGAAAGAGCATTTGTAAACTGATGAACTCAGAGAGACTGGATAACTTACTGATTTTTTTTCAGTCTTTACTTCGAATTAATGATTTTTAATTCCATGGACTAAATTATTTTTGCCTTTTTCATGTAGAACTGCTATCAAATTCTGCCCTTTAGGAATGCAGAAAGTAGAACTTTCCATATTGGCAGAGACAGGGATGACCTGCTTGAGCGGGGAGGT